ATGGGGACTTGTGAGCTCCCATCCACTGGAGATTATAGGTTCAGACACAGAGAGTGCAGGCTCAGGCACTGTTCTCAGAGTTTCCATGTCTCCTTTGTTGACTGCCTCCCTCCACGTGTTTATTTCATTCCAAGACAAACCTGGGAGAAAAGACATCTCTGAGGCTAACACAGATGCAATTGGGAGTATTGTGACTGGCTTAGCCTCAACTGTGTGATGGCCCTGCAGACACTACTGCATCTGGCAGAATTATATTTTGTGTCCGTACGTTTTATTTCACACAAAGAAGTTCTTAAGTAAGCCGCTCAAGAGACTCCATTGGCTCCATGCCATTCTCAGGAATTTTGAAACTTCCTTTTCTTTGATTTCTTTTTTTCTCCCCCAGACTCACCTCCTCCCCACCCTCTGGGCAGCTTCCCTTCTGGCTGTCAGCTTTTATCAGTCCTTAGGATAAAGGAAGTCACTAAGGATGTGTGTGAGCCAAGACTAAAGTAAGGCCAAGAGATGCTAACAGGCAACATTAATACTTCTGTCCTGCTGGGCAAGCTTAGACATGCGCCCCACCTCCTGTGGGGGGGGCACGAATGGGAGGAGGGAGCTTATGGAAGGTGCTCTCAGTGGCCACCTGGACAGCTAGGGTTTACAGGTTTCTATTCCTAAAAATAGTTGGTAGTCACTTTGCCTCTGGCTGAGAACTTGCCTCTGCTTCCAGAACTCTCTTCATGTCCTCCTCCCAATGTCTTTAGACTCTGCATTGTTAATTGTTTGTTTGCTCTTTGGTTTTGGAGACAGGGTTACACATAACTTGCGCTGGCTGCAAACTCACCATGTAACTCAACTCTGAAGTCTTGACCCTCCTGCCTTTTGTCTCCTAAGTCCTGAGAGTCTTGACATGTACCGCCACTCCTGGCCAGACTTCTTCTTTTCCTAATGCTCTTGCTGAGAGAAATCTTAAAGCATTGCTAGCTTCCCCTAGAGCTGGTGGATCACACATGGGTCCAATTGTCCTAAATTTGTCAAGCCCTTCAGGGAAGCTGAGACCCAAATGAGTTCATGTCTCAGATCACTCTGGGATCTAAGACTGACCCTGGGTAACACTGAGGAAGGCTGGAAAGGACTGTGCCTGACTTTAGCCCTGAGGCTCACTTTGGGATTCGTCTGTTATAGACAATGTGCTCCCTCGCATGCAAACACACACCCTGTACTGCTAACCTTCCCTGTGAAACCCCTCACATCAGTACTTACAAACACACACATGCAATACTTATGAACACCCAACATACCCTGTTGGGCTACTTCCACTGTCAACTATGTTTTGTCATCTTCTCTTTTACATCAGTTTTTTAGAGGTGGGTCTTATGAGCGTCATAGTCACCATCTTTAATTCACACTCGCAAGTGTTTTCAACACTCTGATAAATAGCATTCACCATAGGATACATATGGTACATCTTAAAACAGATAAGCAAACAAACTAATATTTGTTTCTGTGTGTGAGAATGTGCAAGGGCATGCAGGAGCCTCTGAGGCCCGAAGAGAGCTGTGGTTGGGTCCCCTGGAGCTGCAGTTGTAGTTTTAAGCCATTTTAGCTGTCTTCATGAAAATGTAGCACTATAAATAGATGATTAGTTAGACCAAAGGCAGTATCCAGAGTAAAGCAAAACAAGCAAAAAGGCTTCTAGATAGTGTCAGATAGAGATTAGCTCATATTTCAAAGCTTCTTTGCAAATGTCTGTCTTCTGATACTTTTCTGAAATCCATTGAGAGGGATAGATTCGGTCCTTGAGTGACCTGTGGCCTGTCTGCCGCACCTGTTCTCTCTCATTGTCCCCATTTTACTTCAGGCCAGGCACTAGACTTGGTGTTCCTGAGATTCTGTCAAGCTGTAAGGTGGACAGTGTAGTCTAGCAGAAAGGAGGGGTTCACATGCAAAGGGGTTAGGCTACCATTTGGTTATAAATGAGCTAAAGGCAATTTTCTGCCAGGATATATCTTCACTGAAGTCAATGGCCCCACCTCCCCCCAAAGGAGGAGGAAGAGTACCTACCCAGGGTGCTGTCAGCAGAAACAGTCCCTCTGATACTTATTAGTTATCATCTGAAGATCTTTATCAGCAGTCTAAAAAAGCCAGGCGAATTCCAGTGTGGAAAGGGAGGGGCTCACAAAGTCATACTCCTAACTAGTATCTTGGCAACTGATGGATGCTAAGAAAGGCACTCAGTTTTCTTCAGAGTTGTATCCTGATAGGCCTGTCCACTCTTCCGTGGACTGTTCTTTTCCCACACACATACGAGTGACCTAAAGTGGCTTCCGTAGAGGGTAGGGAGGTAAAGGGAAGGGACCGAGGATGGGTTTAATCAAACCATGCTTATTTGCATGTTCTGAAATTCTCAATTTAAAAACACAATCACACTAGGTCAAAGCCTAGGAAATTTCATTAAATCTCAAGACAACAATAATCTAAGAAGAATGAAGGCAAGCATGGTGGTCCTCACCTGTGATCCAAGCACTCGAAAAGCTGAGACAGGAGGATCACCATGAATTTGAGACTAGTCTGGGTTACATAGCAAGCTCTTGTTTGAAGAAAGAAAGAAAAAGAGGGAGAGGGAAGGAGAAAGAAAACAACTTTAAACAAGTAACTTGAGGTGGTGTTTATTACTGGTGTGAAGAATGCTAGACATACTCTTTGTATTGGTAAGGCTGTCTTAGTTAGAGTTTTACTGCTGTGAACAGACAACATGACCAAGGCAACTCTTATAAGGACAACATTTAAGTGGGGCTGGCTTACAGGTTCAGAGATTCAGTCCATTATCATCAAAGAGGGAACATGGCAGCGTCCAGGCAGGCATGGTATAGGAGGAGCTGAAAGGTTAATGTCTTCACCTGGAGGCTGCTAGCAGAATACTGGCTTTCAGGAAGCTAGGATGAGGGTCTTAAAGTCTACCCCACAGTGTCACACCTACTCCAACAGGGCCACACCTTTTAATAGTGCCACTCCCTGGGCCGAGCATATACAAACCAGCACAGAGGCTGAATTATCAGAACAGAGTAACCAACTTAAACTAGGATTCTATTTGACCCCTGATCTCCCTCACTGGGTAGAGGATTCCATTGGCTGATCAAGCCAGACCACTGGTTCTGAACCGTGGTTGGATTTTTCTGATTGCTACATAAACCTTGAGATGCTAAGGCTGAGTAGCAGGATAAAATCAGTGATCAGTGAAGCTCAAGCACAGCTTAAGCAATTTCTTACCAAGAAAAATTGCACAGCTAGCTGGCTATTTGGTTCAAGGCTGCATCCAGGATGCCTGACTTGCTGACCTCTTCCTATTCACTAGAAAGACAGTTATCTCTTAGGGTATGTGGATGAGGACAGCAGCACCAACAGCACCTGGTAACCTGTTAGAAATGCAAATCACCAGGCTACTGCAGATATAATACATTGGAAACCCTGGCATGGGGCTATGCCATTGGTATCAACTGTTCGTGAGGGGTGGGTATGCTCTCAGGCATGCTTTGCAGACTATAGTTAGAGATTGCCTGTTGCATGTAGCTTTTGCTACCCCACCTAAGCTCTGAAATGGACCATGCTACTAGCCCTGGCCCAGAAAATATTGGATCCTTGGATTAAAAACACAGACACACACAGTTATTCAATTTCAACTTGCCTTATTGACACAATTGCTGGGTGCCCCCAATCTACCTCGGGCTAGCATGCCCTTCCCAGAACTCCCAGCTCAGCACCCTAAATCTGCACTCAATCTTAGCTGCTCAGCCACCTTCTTTACCAGCTCAACACTCCCAACCTCCCACCTGTAGAAGTGGCTCATGGCTGCTCCACCAGAGATCTCACATGGCTGGTTTACTTTTCTCCCTCTTAAGGGTTGTGAACTCTACTCTCTTCCTTCTTCATCTGCCACTTGGCTTTGGGGATCCAAAAGTCCCACTTCTTCTTTCCACCCAACAATTGGCCCATGGCTTCTTTACTGATAGGTCAAGAACCAATTGGAGATCAGGACCTTAGCATCAGCTTAGGCAGAGTATCAAAAGCTACATGTAACAAGTACCTGTGTCCTTTTATGGCTCCCCACAAGCTAGTCTCCTATCTCTGCACAGAAGGAACTCTTCCTTTACCCTCGCATTTGTTTCCAGTGCATGCTCTGTGGAGATGCAGTGACATCTGTGGCTAAGAAGTCTACTACCTAAATCCTGGACCACTCAGGTTGCTGGGAATATTTTCTGTCATTAAACATCAAGAGCCAACTCTTTGCTGGCTGATGAGGAAAGTGAAAAACTTTCCTTTTTATTGGGTCCATCTTGAAACTTTCCTGTCCAAGTTGCATTCTTATCAGCTTGGGACTACAGAAAGACAAAGTATCTAAAAATACTTTTTAGATACACCTAACCCTCGAGAGACTTGAGGCCCCAGGGAGTGGGGAGGTGTGGCAGCTGTGGGAGGACATATTTTTGGAGACGGGGAGGTGGATGAATGGGAGGAGGAACCATGGGAAGGTGGACCAGGAGGGGGGCAAAGAGTGGACTGTAAAAATTAAAAGTAATAAAAAAATAAAAAATAAAATAAATGACAAAGTTCTACCTGATGCCTTTGGTCTGTTAATGTAATACAATGATATAATACAGTTATGCATAAATACCATAGAAAATAAATCATCACCATCATCATTATGCAGGGTCTCATGTAGCCTTTGTTGAAACTTGTACTTGAGGATGACCTTGAGCTCCTGATCTTCCTGCCTCTGCCCAGAATGGTGGATTACAGATAAGGGCTACCAAGTTGTAAAGAGCTGCAGAGCAACCCTGGGTTTTATGCTTGTTAAGCAAACATTCTACAAACTCAGACACATCTCCAGTCCACAAATAAACTTTAACATTTTAGAATCAGGAAAAGAGGTCTTTGGGCACCTACACACACACACGCACACACACACACACACACACACACACACACACACACACACACACACAGGGGACATACACATGTTGCATCTTTAGTGGTTTTATTAAGCCTTTTCCTTAAAACCAGAGCAAGAAAAAAAGTACGTGCCATAGAAACCCAGTTGACCAGAGGAATTTTTGAAATCATTTCACAAGATACTATATGATCAATAAGACTCCTGTATTTGGTTCTAATACACCTGCATATAGATTTAATCATGTTTAAGATACAAAGTATATACCACAGATACTAACTCTCTTATTGGCTCATTCATTTAATGCTTACTGAGTATCCATAATACAGCAGTCAGGCATGCCTCTAGCACTGGGGCCAATGAAGTAGCTGACGATTACATGCCCCTACTCATCTAGACTTTGTGATTTAAGGGGAGAAGATCAAGTAAGCAAAGCATTTATAATGAAATGTGATGACTGTTGTGTTAGGACATAACGCAGTCACCTGGAATTCACAGAAGGATAGCAGAACGGTACAGGGATGGTGTGTCAAGAGCCCCACATGAGGCTCGGGGCTTTGGCTTTGGAGGCTCTTTCAAACCTGTTTGCTGAAAACTATCCCAAAGTATACTGACCACAGGAAGGAAAGTCTGGGTGAAAGAGGCCCTTCTTCAGTCTGGTGGACTTCAGCAGGTAGCTGCTCACTGCCTCAGCTTTTGGTAAGTGTTGGAGAACACAACCAAGGTCAAGAAGATCAAACCACTGACGAAGCCAATGAGCAGGCCCAGCAAGCTGCCGTGCACATGCATGGCCTGACAGCGCTCCCCTGTGTAGAAAAAGGCATTCCCAGAGATGCACCTGTGGAACAGGACACAGAGAGTGGAAATCACCTGAGCCTCAGATGCTTTGTAGCAACATACCCCACCATAATAGCAATAACAGTATTGAGTAATTGCGGACCACTTCCAGCCCATCCATGGGCTTTGTATGTATCAATTCATTTAGCCACACCATGGCTTTTTGAGGTAGGGGACTACAATCCAGTCATTCTCATTGCCTGTTATTTAAGCTAAAAAAGCATAAATGTCAGAGTCACATGGTGTTTCACACCTGAAGCTGAGCCTCAAGAGAGAGACCTTGGCCACTTGACATCCAGGAGGAAGATTTGGACCACCTACAGAGTACTTTACCTGACCCTGGCTCAGATACACTGCAATGGAAGCTCTCCTGAGAGACCCTGAGTTACTATATCACCGAAATGCTAAAACTCGGAATCCTACTGTGAGTTGTCACACTGCCAACGGTCTCTCAACGTTTCTGAAAGTTCACATGAAAGAATGCAGATTCTGTGCCAATTAAGGTTATTGACACATAGTAGGGGCACATTAGCTAAACTCTGGAACTTTTTTTTATTAATATTATTTGGCTGTGAGCATTGGTGGTGCACATCTTTGGCCCCAGCACTCAAGAGGCAGAGGCAAGTGGATCTGTGAGTTCAAGGCCAGCCTGATAAGCATAGCAATTTTCAGGAGAGCTCAGGCTACCTGGAGAAACTTTGTCTTGAAAAAGAAATGTTATTTTGCATAAAAATCATTAAGGGGGGGCCCAATACCTTCCATAATGACAATCTCTGCCATCGTTGTGAACATGTCAACTACAGAGAATTGGATGGAGCAGGCTGGGATGTTAATGAGACAGTGTCCTGTTATTATCCTTGGAGTTCTTGGGTAGGGGTTGAAACGTTTCCTTATGATACCTCAGACTAGCCTGGAACTCACTGTGTAGTTCCTGTTGGCCTCAAACCCACGATCCTCCTGCATCAGTCTCTCAAGGGGCAGCATTATAAAAGTAAGCCACCACACCTGGTTTTCTTTTACCTTTAAAGGATTCCTCTTTAGCCTGGGAATTTTTTTTTTTTAAGTCAGTAATAGCAATCAGACAAATTTTTCTTCTGATCCAATCCCACCAGCTTGGGTTACTTTCAGCAAGCTTATCCCACAAGGCCCGGCTTTGGGGATATGGGAAAACAATAACCCTTCAGTGCATGGGTGGCAATTCCTTTGGAACAAGTGTAGCTAGGAGGAATCCCTACTGGGAGGTGGTGTCTGAAAACCTAGCAGGCCTATGTTTTTAATCTGTTATGGGCGCCCTATGTGGGGTGAGTCAATGTTTGTTAAAATGTCTCCTGAAACAGTTAATATAATGAATGCAAAGTACTCTTTGCCTCTGGTACCTAAACATAAGCTCCATCTTATCATAAAAAAAAAACCCACCTAGAGTCAATTACAACAATGACAAGGAAAATGTTATGAAGTAAATGTCATCGCTCTTCAAAAACAAAGTGATAAATGACAGGGATTGTTTCAAGCTGAAGGAGACTAAAGACACACAGAACTAGATCCTTTGTGATGTGCTGGAATAGAAAGGGGACACTGAGGAAAACTTGGTGAAATCTAAATGAAGTCCTCTGTTTGGTCCATAGCCTTGTGCTGATGATGTTCAAGTCTTGCCTTTACTAACTTTAACACAGTTGCATGAGAAGTTAACATGATGAGAAGATTTTTAAGGACACGGGGAAATCGGTAGTATTTGTGCAGCTTCAGCGTTCCTACAAGCCTAAAGTTATTCCCAAGTAAAAACTCAAAAGAAACAAAGTGGAGATGAGAACTCAGAGGAGACAGGCCTGTGTGGGGTATCACTCAAGCTTGGAGCTTATGTCTCCTGCATCTGCTTTCGTCCCACCTACCACAGTGATGGTTCTCTTACTACATATGCTTGTCTATGATGTATTCTTAAGGCTGTTATGCAAACATGAAAAAGAGAAATTCCAGTCACAGAAAATTGCACAGGCAGACATCTTTGCAAGTCCCAGCTCTGGCATTTATTATCTGGATAATTCGGGACAGATTACTCTTTGTACGTTCGTCTTCCCTGATATGCTAAATGAAGGTAGGAAGAGCTGGGTCACAAGATAAAATCAGATCGCGGTGTATAATGCTGAGAGGGACATGTGATGCCCAGATAGTAATAATCAGGCATTCTCATTACAGTTATGAAAACATAATAATGGAACGGAACTGATGAATTCTAAAACTAGTACTGCTACTACTAATAAATAAATAATAAGACATCCATGAAGATTCAAGTTTGATCTTGAGTCTCTGTAGCAGGTCACAGAGCAGAAAGCCCCTAGGTCAAAGCCCTTCGGCCATTTGTGAGACCTGGTACCATAGTCAAGGCAAAAAATATCTTACATAAAGTGCTCATTGCCGTTTTTATGTGTATTTGTGGTGTGTGTGTGTGTCATCAAGTGTATGCACATGTGTGTGTGCACACGTGTTCGTGGGTGTGTGTGCACACGCGTGTGGGTGTGTGGGGGTGTGGGTGCATGTTACCAGAGATAGCCGTTGAACAGAATCTTCTTTGGTTGGCTCTTCATCTTATTCTTTGAGACAGGGTCTCTCATGACTCCAAAGCTGGCTGACTTAGATAGGTTGTCAGGCCAATGAGCTCCTTGGATATTCCTGTCTCCTCCTTCCTAGCACTGAGGTCACAGACATATGTCACTATGCTCTGATGTGGTACGTGGGTGCTGGGGACCCAAACACAAGTTCTCAAATTGTGCAGCAAGCACTTTACCAGCTAACTCTTCCTCCTCAACCCCACCTCTGTGACTTTTTGAGCAGCAAATTTGACTCAGATATGTTACCCCATCCCCCACTCTGCCACCCTTGGTTTTGGAGCCTACCTGCAGCTGGCCATCCCCTTCACGTTCACACAGGTGCCTTCATTCTGGCATGGGTTTGGGTCACAGGGATCTCTGAAATATTGTGGCCAGTTGTGGTCTTCCATGGGGCCAGAATTCTCCGCTGAGCGCTTCTGTCTGTTGTGCTGTCTCTGGTCCAGGCTGTTTGGCAGGGATTCCTCCATCATGGCTTTTCCAGAGCTTTCTCCCAAGGCAAGAGGTTCTTGGTCTTGCAGAAGGAGGCCTCGGGGCATCACGCTTCTGCTTGAAGTAGGGACTTCAGTCTGGCTCAGGTGGGTGAGGTCTTCAGGATCCAGGCCACAGCAATGAGAGAATTCAAGATTAATGATGGGCACCCACTTCTGGGAGTTTTCTGGGTCTAACTCTCTTTCACAGATACCACATTATATAGAAAAGTGGCTTTTTCTCAGGATACCAGCTCTCTTATTGTAAAATAATCCTGTCACACTATTCCTTCTGAATTCACAAAAAAAAAAGCATATACTAGCCAAGGGTAGATGGATCAAGGCTAAACTGAAGCCAGCATATTGTCATAGCTGGTAAATTATCACAAAGATTAACACTTCAAAAAGATGAAATTTTGGTTTCTCCCTGGGACAGTTAAAGATTATCGCTTTTACTACAAATAGGTGTTTGAAGAGTTCGATATACTTGCTCTGGGTTGCTGGTCACACAATGGACAGATGTCTCAGTGTATCACATGATATACTCTGCATGACTGTGTATAATTTTTATGTATCAATCAAACAACATATTCAAAACATTATAGAAAAATATGAATCCTTGACCAAACAAGTAAAGTGTGACTATTAAAACATGATCTTTTTCTTTTTTAAAAAACCTTATCCTAAAAAATCAAAATAAGAAAAGATTTTTACTTCCCTGACTTTGTTTTAAAATCAATGGAAATCAATAGACCAGTCAGAGCCTAGGATTATTGACCCAGGAAGTCTAACAAAGTACCTTTAAAGTCCACAAAGATGATGAGGGTGTCATCCTTAAGGAACTTTCTTCTCGTCAGCAGCTGGTGGGAGATGGCCTGGCCCCAGCCCCAGTCAATGCTTCTAAAACAACCACAGTCCTTATCATAGACACCCACCTTGGATGGACTGTCCCAGATAGAGCCATTTATAGCTGCAGAGGGATGAGGGACATACATTCTCATTAGCTTTTATGCTGTACCTTCCATAAAGTGGTTCGTTAAAACATACTCTCTCTCTCTCTCTCTCTCTCTCTCTCTCTCTCTCTCTCTCTCTCTCTCTCACACACACACACACACACACACACACATACACTTTATAATAATAAAAAGAATAAATGTTCTGAAAAAGGCAAATGGTACCTAAGGTGCAACACTCAGGTTGTCCTCTGGCTTCCATCACATATACATGGAAACACACACACACACACGCACACACACGGAAAACAACCTATAACTCTACACTCACATCACTATGTCATTGCTGTGCAAAAGGGGAAAGTAAGGAGAATGATATTATCATTTACACCTCTTCTGACCATCCTGGACTCAGGGGCAATTCTTGGGCTCAAATCACCTACCTGATGATGTGTGGTACTTGGAGGTCGTGAACATCAAGCTCAGGGACATCCTGTTCCTGGGATCAGGTTCCTGGTCCAGTATAGTCATTATGGCCTGTCTGTTTTCCACTGGCCACTCCAGAATCATATCGTTATCTCCACTGTACAAGTGGAAAGCGAGTCCCAGGTAGCCAGGGTTACTGGTGATTCTACCATTGGGGTACAAGGTCACCCCAAAACCATAACCCTCAGAATTGTAGAACCTAGGGCTCAGAAGCTTGTCCCCTTTTGCTATGTTCTTAAGGACCTGGGAGATATTCCGGATGGTCCAAACCCCTACAGGGCAGGGGGTTTCTGTCAGAGTGATGTCATCAAGGTAAATACCGCCATCTGAGTTACCAGGGTCACCTTTGGTACCCTGGAAAACATATCGAAATTTCTTTTCTTCGTTGAGTGTCACGTGAGCAATTTTCCAGTTGTGATCAGAATCTCCTGAGGAAAAAGAAAGTTGGTGACAGTTGGTGCCAACAGTTGTTGAGCCAGGGAGGCATACCCATTCCCTGTTTCATTCTTCATGGCGGCCCCTAGCAGAGGCGTTATTGCAGACACACTAACCAGCTTTGCCCAGTCACTTGTGATATTTAAAGTTAGCATTCTCTGCAATGGGCTTCACAGGCTTGTCACTGAGATCACTCTTACGCTCCCTCCTTCTCCGGTCCCCCTCTCCCCAACCCAGGCTTCATTTATTTAAGGGTCTAAATTCCACCTGAGATGGTTTCATGCTTCCTGGTAACATTTCCAGAGTCAACTGAACATAGGGGACAATGACTCCATCAATATTGTATTTACAACAAATATTCATTTTAAATATTCTTTACTTTCAAAGTTTTTTTTTTAAATAAATTCTTTAACAAAAATGCTATGTGGGTCTGGCTAATCTCACTGTGTAATTTTTTTTTATGTGCAAGTTCTTTAAAATAAACTTTTTAATTATTAAAGAAAAAGTAAAAGGTGTCTTGCTGATATCCTTTCACCAAACAAGCTTTGACTAATTACAGCCTGGAACAGCAAACCACCCCTTCAAATTAAAAAAAAAACGTGGCTGCAGACTTCTCAGACAGCTGACATTGGAGTGGACAGAGGTGACTGGACACATATATTTCCAAGGACATCTCAAAAAGTTTCCTCGGTTCAAGAGTAGCAGTCTGTTTTATATAATACAAACAGTGTTTACTTTCTAGGGCTCACTTTGAAAAACTCTTTGTTGGGTAGGGAAAGTGTCAAAGTCTATCTCTCTTGTTCAGAGAGACTTGCTGCCATAACAATAACAACAAGAAGAAAAACAGAAATATTTAGCTTTAAGGAGCTGAGTCTGAAGGCCCTCACTGTCTACCTTAGCAGTCAAAGATTTTCCTACTGACCCCCCAGAAACACACAGGACAACGCAGCACATAATGGCCACGGTGGAGTGACATTCAGTGGCTTATGTTGCCGTCATTATTTAAAATGCTCAAGTAACCAGAGCCTGCTTGTGAGATCTTAAGATATGTCAATAGTTCACATAATGATGTCATCTGCTTTCCTGAAACAGAAGCAAAAGCAGTTACGGCCAATTGCTTGGCATCCTTCCGCTCTCTTGTCTTCTCCTCTGAATCATCTACTTTTCTTGGATTGTGTATTCACCAGACCTCCTTTAAAAGTACCTTTGAGCTTCACCTAAACCCTTAACTTTCCAAGGCTTAAAACCTGATGAAACATGTTGGAAGGGTCTGAGGGAGGTTTGGAGGAAGCTGAGTAGGAGGAGGAGAGAGCCAGAGGAGGGCAGAATGAATGATAGGAGAGAGAAGCAGTACAAAGAAGACCCCAGGGTTTCACAAGCCAGTCCTTCTATGATCATTCTAGATACCTTGAAAGGTCTGGATCTTGGCCAGCTGGCGCACCTTGCCTGAGCTGTCATCCCTTCTCACCCAGACGACGAGTTTGTCTGCAGGGCTTCCTGTCATCTTATAAAAAAACTGCAAACACTGCTGCTTCCTCTTGGGGTAAAGGATCCGAGACTCCAGAAGGGCTGCCTCTCCTGTTACTCCTGAGCTGGTATTGAAGGACATGAAGTAGCCGGCACCTGTGGAGAGAGCAGCCCAATGTACCATCTCTGCCTTCCCATGACCTACACAAGGTACCATCAATCTGTACCAGACAATCTGACATAGAAAAAACTAGCCGTTATCCAGGCACCCAAAGCTCGAACTTCTCTGAGGAACCAAAAAGAAGCCCACTTTTCTGGAAACATCTCCTCCTAGTGAGTGCAGTTACTATCTAGCTAACACCATTGTTCTGCATATTTATTTTATTTATTTATATTTATTGACTTTTGGAGAGATTCTCTACGTTGCCCAGGAACTCGTGATCTTCCTGTCTTTATCTCTGGCATGCTGAAATTACAGATGATCTCAACTTGTACATATCCTTTGGTTGTCTTATCCCAAAGTGTGTGAAATGTAAATGCTTGCCTTACAGCACACGAGTCAATCAAAGTTTGATGGAATTTGGTATATGTGAGATAAATTCTATTTTCCTTGCCAGCTTCCTAGTTTAAATTACAGATTCATTACAAAGCAAAGAGTTGATCTCCTAATTTGGTAAGAAACAGTTCAGGTTTGTGATTTGGATTTCAAATGTTTATAGCAATAGGGGTTGAAACTGCTGTTTCTAACCAAACAGATCGGATCTCCAGTCAATGGGAAAGAATTGTCTCTAATGTTCCACAGAATGGCTCATATGAGACACACAAAGGACTGATTAAAAATTCGACCTGAATTTTTATCATATTTCTATATATATTATTAAATATATAATATATGTACATATATATGCTTATGTGCTTTCTCCATACATGTATATTCCATCTGGGGTGTGGTTCTCTCCTACTAAGATCTAGAACATTCTCCCAGAAGGCTCTTCCTCTGAAATCATCTCTTTGTCTCTCTGGAAGTTGAATATTAGCTTGGTAGTGAACCCACAGGGGAGGGCCAGTCAGAGGTAACAGAGGCAACTTATGACATCAGGACTGATGACCTTTTGACTCCTATGTGATAGAGACTTTCATCTTCTCCCAGGGTCAAAGGAAGAGTGCAGTGATAGCAAATGTCCTCTCACATTCTTCTTGGTGACCTGCCATTTAGCTGACTCTTCTGAAAGGATATCTAGTCAAGTCTCAGGCTGACATGGACCAAGAGGCTTTACAGTAAATAGCCTAGCCTTGAAAGGGTTATTATAGCCTGCAACCCCACTTGCTTTCAAAGAGGCGTGACATGACTTTTCCTCGGCAGGCAGGCACATGATAAACAGACAGCAAACTAAAATCAGAAAGGCCCTAGAGATGTGGCCTAATTGAAATCCCAGTTCAATCCTCAGTACCACATACATTGTTTGTGGTGGTGCATCTCATAATGCCAGCACTTGGAAAGTGGAGCAGGAGGATCAGACGTTCAAGGTCACTACCCTCTACATAGCAAGTTTGCAGCTAGCCTGAATCACATAAGAAAGTGTCTCATAAATAATAAATAAATAAATAAGTAAATAAATAAATAAATAAAAGTTTCAAAACCTCACCAGAGAAAGGGAAGTTGAACATATGAGAAGTTAGAGAGGGCTACGGTCTCCAGCTAAAGACTGTAAGCCTCAGTTTCCTCCATTCCTCTGGAAAAGTTTAGTATGTTTGTGGTTTAAGAGTCTTGTAAATGTCAAGATGTCTTAAGAGAAAGCACACAGTAACAACTTCCTAGCATGACCAATAGTCAGTGGGAGAGTTGCACTTCAAACTGAGATCTGTCTGATCTTATGCATTTTCAATAAAGAAAGCAAATACACAATTTAGCTGGTCCTCTGCAGTCGGACACACCGGTTATCACATACTTGGGACTATTAAGGACAGGGTGAGGACAAACTGAGAAGCGCTGTTAAGCTGGGTGTGGTGGCGCATGCCTTTAATTTGAAATGCAGAGGCAAGCCAAACTTTTGAGTTCGAGGCCAGCCTGATATATAAAGTGGATCACCTACAAAGTGAGTTCTGGGACAGCCTGGGCTACATGGAAAAACCCTGTCTTGACAAACAAAACCAAACCAAAACAGAAACAGAAATAAAACCAACCAAACAAAATTTAAAAAGAGCAATAATGTCCCTGTCTCAAAAAAACAAAACAAAACAAAAAAAGAGCAACAATGTATATACTTCCTACAAAAAAACTAAAGTATCACATACGATCATTTTTAGGTTGGTGACATATAATAATACTAATATCATTGAATCAAAATGATTTTTGCCCATTTCCTTTTAGCCCTTATGAGGCTACTGTAAACTGTGTATTACATATGTGGCTAGCATGGTATTTCCATTGGTGGGTACTGTTTGGAAACATTACCCTTGATTATAAAGTCATGTTATTAATCAAGTATGCCCGTACCAATGTTATTATGGTAAACATATATCTTCCTTTTTATTTAAAATATTTTAGAATGTATTCCTTGGCATTTTTGCACATGTATACAATGTGTTTTGATAATATGCATTCTCCATTGCCCTACGCTTACCCCCGTGGAGTGTCTTCCCAACATAGTCTCTTTCTATTTTCATGTCATTTATTTTGTGTCACCCAGTGAGTCTAATTAAAGTTTCCTGCACTCAGGGGTGGAGAGTAATTTCGATATTCTCTTGTCTCTCCACAGCCTGGAAAATAGTTTTTTTTACCGAGTTAATGGTTAAGGTATGAGAAATATTCTTTGTCTTTGTTCAGGTTTTCAGGTTTGATAATTAACACAATAACTCAAAGGCAGAATCCACTAGCGGCCTTTCACCACCTCAGGGTGCTGACTTTGACCATCACCAACCTGTGCACCGTCCCACCAAGGTGTGGTCCACTTGTCCAGGCTGGCTGCTGTCCCCACGAACCCAGTCAGCATCATCTATGGTTCCCTGGATCATTCCACAGATGTTGGGCTTCTCAAAGGCACAGTGGTCCAACAGGGTATGTGTTGAAGCTACGTGTGATATTTTTGTCATACGGTTAAAATACAAAATATCTCATTCCAAATGTCTTAAGCCACTAAAACACCACTGTTTAAATGAGACAAAATCATTTTCCTGACCCTTTCCCAAATGCAGCCCTTACCTTAGTCATCGGGTTAACTCTTAGAACACAGACACAGAACCATGTAACCCAGAGAACTAGAAATCAACTGCAGAGAACCTGCAAGTATTCCTTGCTGAATAGGCCAACATGAACTCAAGGCCAAGGATGAGGCAGCTACCACGCTGGGCTTTGTAGTCACTAGTCCCCTGTATAGTTTTTCAGCACAAATGGAAAATCCTCCCATTTCAAAGCTTAGAATACTTTAAGATTAGTCCGAGGAAAGAGTTTTGCGGGGTGCAACACATTTTCCAGCCCATTGCCTATCTTGACCTCTACATGATTATTCACCCTTTGGAAGGAAGCCAGGGGAAATAGAAAATAACAGCTTCTTATATTTGCTCAATAGTTGTCTTAGAATATACATATGCATATACATCATATGCATATATGCATGAGCCATAACTATCCCATGAGATGTCTTTTTCTAAAGAGACAATGCTTGAGGGTATGTAGTCTGTCTGTTATTCAGAGCGTTCAAGAGAAGTAGCAGAGGCTGAGGGGATGCTGTGCTAGCCAGTCCTCAGGCACAGAGGTACTTACTGCAGTTGTACATCCGATTCAGCCTCATTAAATCAATGGCACTGAAATCCAGGCGCTGTCCAATGATGTCATTAAACTCAGGGATCTTGGTGGTGATGGTAGGGATGCTTTCGTTCTTGTTAAATGAGAACGGCCCATAGTGCATCACGGACTCATAATCATAGGGCGTGTTGAGGTCTGTGATGGTGTTGTCATCATATGTGTCGAAATTATGTTCATAGTCTGTTGAGGAGACAACCCTTAGGTACTGCTCAGCCATGCTATTCTCTCCAACCTTTCCTCTTTGCCTCAGAGAGCTCAAAAATGGGAACATTGCATCTTGAGTTAATATACATATATATATCTTACAATTAGAATATATAAAAGAATATGCATTGTTGAATAATTGGTTCTAATTCACTGATGTCATAATATATGTTTATAAAATAGTATGTATAAGATTGTTGGAATGACCATAAGGTGTTCATGTTCTATTAGTACACATACTTATATATTATCAGGCATTACAAGTATTTCATGTAATTGTATGAGAGATGTGTATATGTGTATGGCTTTTAGAAATAAAGTAAAATAGCGAATCTAAGGCAAGCATTATAAACACGAAAGAGAAGAAAATTTTGAATTAAGGAAAATATTCAGGATTATGCTAAGATACCTCTCCTAATGACCAAGTACACACATCACCAGGTCTATCCATCTTTCTCCCTGGCCAGCTCTTTATGTGTTGGGAAAATGAACTTCAAGGGTCAATGAGAAAGGTAAGCAGCTGGCAAGGAAGAATTGTCTTGATCAAAACTCACGCTCCTTGCCCTAGGAAGAACATAGGTAAGTAAAAACATGGTAAGAAGAAAAAAGTATTTTCCTGTTAAAGGAAATTTATTGAGGTAAACATTAGCAGGAAGGAGATAAGATGCTGTGACATGAAGAGTTGAGGGACAAAGCCCAATCGATGTCCTTTGAAATCGACCAGTCACCAATAATTTACTGTTTCAGTTACCCAGATAGGAAGAGCTGAGAGGTGTTTAATTGCCTTCTTGTAAGAGAAGAATTATACATATGCAAAGCGTAAAGCAGTGGTTATGGTTGTTTTCCTTGTAAAAGTAGCTTCACATCTCATGGGACTATAGCTTGTCAACCCCTGCTCGACCTCAGAAGTTGAATCTTTTCCTTCGTAGAAAAGAAGAAACGCAATCCTGATCCAGAGAATGGGGATAGAAACTGCATCACCGTCAGTGTATTGACCTTGGGAGACACTCGGGGCTGCATGGGCTGGAGATGGCATACAATAAAATACACAAATGATTCTGGGAGTCACACTGGCTTTGTTTATCTCATTGGGCTTCTGTCTCCTTGGAGAACAGTAATCCAGTGATTGCAGGCAATATAGATATAGAGTGGGATGTGATGGACCTAGAGATAAGAGGGAGATGTGCTGAGCAACCCTGGCTCACCTAGCACTGAGCAAATCTGCAGACTGCACCAGTCAGTGTGGGCTCACTGATAAAACGACATCGTTGGCCTTAAAACTGTCTTTAAAAGTCACCGAATATTACATTTCTCGTCTTAGAAATAGAATTTTTAAATTGCTAATGAAAATTTCAGCAAAGCCAACTCTATGTGTAGGAAGGTAAGAAACTCAGACCTGTAGGCAATATAGCCGGAGTCTAAGAGAGCTCTAGGGCTCACAGTCAGTTGATGCAGTCCTTTGCCTGAGAGTCCATTCCCCCTTTTCCCTACACACTCAGTTATGGTACAATCAGCTGTGAGAGACAAACATTTTGAGTCTTATCTGAAATATCATCTCTGAGGAAATAGATTCCCAAACTGACTTCAGGGAATCTCCACCTAAGACTACCTTATGACTCCAGTGTTTATGTGGTAAAGTGTGTTGGTGTGTGTGTGTGTGCGTGTGTGTGTGTGATGCTGGTGACAAAGCTTTTACAGATTGCAGCTTTCCTGTTATTTTACTATCTTTCCACTTTCATAGTATTATCAGAATATGAAGGGCTGGGAGGGACACGGGTCAAGAAACCACATAGGGAAGTCTGATATATTAGCGAGCTCTATCCGCCCTCCTGTGAGGACCACTGACCACTTCACCACCAAGTGAGCTGTGCTGACAGGAGTCTTTACTCGATTCAGATTTCATTTTAAAGCTGGGACAGTTCTCACAAGCCCATAAAAATCAAATGCCTACATAAACATGGCCACGTATAAACCTATTCATGAAACTGGAATAGAAATAAAAATCCCTGTGCAGAAAAATTATTTACTCAAGGCAGTATGTGTGCTAAAAGTGAAGTCATTTCTACCAAGTAAAGTTTCATTATTTCCTTATGACTTGAAAGAATGCTTTTCCACATCCTGAACTACTTCCTACACTGGAAACATGCTTGCATACACATATGCATACACACAGGTACACACACTTATATACATATACACATACACACATGTACATATACACATATACATTAATGTACATATACACATATGCATATATGAACACATATACATGTACATATATATAGCATATGCACACATGCACTCACATACTCATACATACATAAACATACACATCGTCTTAGCTGGGGTTCTACTGATGGGATAAGTGATTGTAACTCAAAGCAGCTTCAGAGGACAGGGTTTATTTCATCTTAGACTTCCACATCACAGTCTATCGTTACAGGAAGTCAGGGAAGGAACAGAAGCTGGAGCCGAGGAGGAAGGGTCCTTACTGTTTTGCTCTCCAAGACTTTCTCAGCCAGATTTCTTATGCATACCAGGACTACCTGCCCAGATGTGACACTACTCACAAAATGTGACTCCTCCTCATCAATCATCATGATCAAGAAAACGTACCTTGGACTTGTCTACAGGACAATTCTATCAGAGCATTTTCTCACTTAAAGTTATTTGGTCCCAAGTGATTCTAATTGACACTGGGGATTTGAACTCTGGTCCTCATTCTTGCACGGCAAGTGTTCCACTAAAAAGTCTCCTAGTGTCCAATTAGAAACCAAACCAAACCAAACCAAACCAACCAAACCAAACCAAACCAAACCAAACCAAACCAAACCAAACCAAACCAAACCATGACTTTCTTCTTTTTGTCCTGAAATCTTACAAATTGTGGCCATTTTAAATGTATATATATAATGATGTATAGTATATATTACACATAATTACACATATATTATATATACATGTTATATATTTATTATATATGTTAATAATATCTATAAATATAGTATAATATATATGTATAAGTCTCTTATATCAAGTTGGCATACAAGTTTGCCAGCACACATAAAATGGATGTACCCACACATGCAAATACACACACATGCACATAACACTCATGTACATGCACAAACTCCCCTGGAGTGTGTCTGGTAGTGTGTCTGGTAGCCATCATTATCACTGTAGCCTTCTGAAGCCGCCATGCAGAAAACAGCCCTCATATCCTTGGAAATCCAGTTCCTTTTACTCATCACAACAAGAACAAGAAAAAGACTTTTAGATCAAGCTTTAACAAAATTCTGATACAAAGCATAAACTTCTGACTTTCAAGTGATCCCCAACCATCCTCTCATTCAGGGACCAGTCCTGCATCAAAGACTGACTCTCCTGTTCTCAGACTCAGCCTAGGCCTGACTCGGATGTTCTCAGAAAGCTATAGAGACAGTAGCAGGCTCTTTCCCACTATGCCAGTTTCATACAAACCTGTAGTGATTTCATCCCACCAGATGTTGACATAATCGTCCCGGTCAGTCCTTGACTGCTCATGGTAGAATCCCAGAGCATGCAGGATCTCATGCTCGATGATGGCCTTATAGTCACAGCCCTGACCAATGGAAAGGTTCTGTCCCACATGTTGATCACCAACCATAGACCAGCACCTTTTAAAAGGAAGGAGAGGGAGATGTTTATACAGAGTCATAATTTATATGTTTATATATAGTCTATATATTTTAAATGGCTAAAATTTATAAGATTCCAGACAAAAAAGAAGAAAGTTGAGTTTGTTTTTGTTTTTGTTTGTTTTTAATTGGAAGTTGGGAGATTGCTTAGTGGAACACTTGCCATGAAAGAATGAGGGCCAGAGTTCAAATCCCCAGTGTCAATTTAAAAGCCAGCAGCAGGGGACAGCTGTAACACTGTAACTTGGAAGGCAGAGACAAGATCCCAGAGTAGCCAGACTCTAGAGTGTCCAGGTACTGACTGGGGCTACAGACTCACTCAAAGCTCTCTCTTCCATCTGTTTGGAAATGACCAATACAGTATTGTTAGTTCTAGTTAGTTAACTACGCATCACAACATCAAAACTTATTCCTCTCAACCAGCCACGACTTTGTAACTAAGGATGTATTCACTATCCTACATATACATGTACATGGACAAGCATGACATGCACTGTTGCTTGGATCAATTCAAAGCAAACAGTTTAAAGGGAGACTTTTAAAACCAGAAAGGAAAGCATTTCCATATATTCATGGCTCTATGACAAGAGTTAAGTATGGGATGTCCTCAGCAAGCAACCTTTGTGTTCTCTTAGGCCAGTTTAGAGTGGTAATCCATCTTAAAAGCCACTCTTCCCTGTAGGCAAACAGATCATAACAAGGCATCAAGGAGAGAAAATTGCTATTCTCCTTCTCTTTCATAAACCCACAGGGCATTCCAAAGAATAACACTATCGCTTTTAGATTAAAATACTCTCTTTTCGTGATGGCTGATTTAAATGCTATCTTTAGGAAATTTCCAAATCTCCTACAAGGAGCAGAGGTAAAGTTCATGATTATGAAGCATATGATAAAATGAGTCAATGAGTGTAGAAGTTCACATCTTTAGATACAGTTTGACCACATCGGGAAGACTGCCTACCTCATATTGAAGAATCCTAGGCAGGTCCAAAACTTCCCTAACAGACTAGCAGCCTAGAGAACTTCTGGCAGATTCCCTAAATTCCTCCCTCATGGAATGCGTCCTACCTTCTGTTGGCAGTTGATCATGAAATGTGTCTCTTAGGACCCTGTGTTTGTCTCCAGCTGTTTCAGAAGCTACGGAAACTTTAGGAGGTGGAGTCTTACTGGAGAAGAGCTTCATTCACATGGGACCTGCCTTGAGGTTTTATAGCCTAGCTTCCTGTCTGCTTTCTACTTCCTGGCTGGGTTACAGCTCTGAGGGTACAGGCTTTCCCAGGGGAAGTGTTGCAGCTCTGAGTGAGGGAGGTTTCACCAGTGCAAGCATTACAGCTCCAAAGAAAAAGGCATCCTGGCAATCAGGAGCCAAGGAATACTGCAGTCCTATGATACAACAAACTTCACACCGGTTTACTGGGAAAGACACAAGATGGTGTCTGCTTCTACTTGAGCAAGAAACATCAGGGAACTGAGCAGGAACTCATACTGGGTTTCTTGGGAGTAGAGTTTTCCAGGGTGGAGATTTCCAAGATGGAATTTGATGAGATTTCAAGCCAAGCCCAGGGATTGATGGGATTTCATGCTCAGGAATTGGTGGATCGTTTTGCTCAGGGATTGGTGAGTTTTTATGCTCAAGGACTGGTGAGTTTGGGCAGTGGACTTGGACATTTTCCCCTCCACTAAAACTGCAATGTCCCAGCCAACGTACCCTGCCTTTCTCACCACTAATGAACTGTTGGGAGTTGGTCTGATGCTGTGTACACAAATGCTAAATACTGGTCCCCAAGATCTGGTTGCCCCTAGACTAGACAAGTAAATTCCAACAGTACACCAGTCTTTCTTGTGTAAACTTTGCTCCCAGATTGAAAGGTATTGGCTTTAAAAAGTGGCTACAGCCAATTACTGGGGAGAATAGAAGTAGGTGGAGTTTCAGTTGTTGAGCTGGAGGTGTGCAGGTAGGGACCACAAGGAGAGAGGAAGGAGGCCATAGTGAGGCGAGATGGATCATGTACATGTGGCCAGGAGAAGTGAACTCTGAGCACAGACTGATAGAACAGAAATTACCCGAGTGATGCTCAAACAGCAAGTAACAAGGGGCCTGTGCCAGGGAAGGAAGTTACAATAGCTTCTAAACCTGCCCAATCTAGGCTTACAGATTGTAAATAACAGGATTTTGTGTCTTCTATACAGGCTAGCTAGAAAAAATAATTCATTTACATTAAACTATGTTCCTTTCCGCATTGTAAGTCAGAATAAATCTTTACTCCCTTAAATTGCTTATATTAGGAACTTGCTCATAGCAATAAGAGTTACTGATCTACTGCCTCGCTTCCTTCTGACGGGTCCTCAGCAAGAAGAACCTCAAACTTCCCTCAGAAACTGGTCAGCTTGGGAACCTTAAAAGACTCCCTAAGTTTATCATGGAATGTTCTTTGCCCTCTTTTTCCTGAAATCATTTTTTTCTTTTCTTATGAATTCAATTTTCTTCTTGTGTGGGCAAACTAGAATTTCCCACAAACTGTCCCCTTTTGGCTTTCCACTGTGAAATCTGGACCAACAGGGAGGGCTTTGCTCATAATTTTCAGTGTTGCCAGGGATTAGAAGTTGCTTGGCAACAATCACATTGTCTTACCGGCCTACTTTCCTAACTTGTTAGCATCCTGTATCTCTGGATGCTGATTCAAATGCTACTCATTCAAAAATAAATAAATAAATAAATAAATAAATAAATACTAATAAATAAGAAGGTTGAAGTTGTGGAGATAGCTCAAAAGCTAAGAAAGGTTTGATTTTGCTTTTTTCCTAGTAGTTTCTTTTAGCTTTCAAAATAGATGTGTGACATTTTAGAAACTTAAGGATACATACTTTCCATGGTTTGTCCTATTTCATACTAACCCAGAAAATTTCTGGAAGATGATGTACGAGCTCTCCCCTTCATAGGGCTTGAAATCCACACAAGACTTGAGGCGGAACATTTCAAAGGCGGTGAGGATGGCTCCTTTGGCGTTCAGATCTGTAAAACATTGGCAGGCATTATTTAGAATTTGAATGACAGACATAGCTTATAGTATACAGAAGACTGTACCACTGATACAAAATATACAGAGGTTCCATGTCGTTTTTTTTTCTTTCCTGGGGTGGGGTGGGTGGTGCGTAACTCAGTTTGTTGGTAATTAAATTTGAAGTTAGTTCCATACATGGCGCTAGTTCATACTGTAGATGGTCAGTGTAAGTGTGACTCCAGGAAAGTAGCTCATGTATGTGTACAAAGCTGGACTAAACCGTAGAACATCTTGCTTTTTCTTCTCCCCACCTCTTTCCTTAATTCAGAGCTTCACCTGAGAAGAGTCACATGGCAGAGTAGAAAACAGAAATGGCTCGAAATTCACTCTAGCTCTTGTATGTAGGGGTAAAGTACTTTTGAGAGAATCTGTAGACATAGTGGTCCTTTCCCCAGACTAAAATCATAACCTCCCTGGCTGAGCATGCAGCTCCATTGGCGGGGTGCTCAGTTCATCTCCAGCACCATATAAACCAGGCATACTGGTTTATGCCTATAATCTTAAAACTTGGGAGGCAGAGGCAGAAGGATCAGGAGTTTAAGGCTAACTTGTGCTAAATAAGGCCTAGTTTTTTTTTTTTTAAATCCCATTAGATGGAGGACAGCACAGTTTGTCCTCAAAGCAAAAGAATCATGTGAGGTGTTACCTTGCTCCCCCAGTGAGAGCAGTAGGAAGTAGGCAAAGCCATTCAGCCAGCACTATATATAACACAGGTCTACCCATGACAAGGATGGATTGAAAAGAAGCGATACCCCAGAGGACTGAGGTTACTTTCTTCTTTGTATGCGTTCTTTCCTCAGACCATCAACCGCAGGAGGTTGAAAGCTCAGTTAAAAGTGAGCCCAAGTCATTCCTTCTGCACACTGTATTTCATGCATTAACTAAAAATAAGGATAAGCCTTGGAGGTTTGCCAAGTGATCACATCATGGTTTTCATTTATTAAAGTACCATGCTGGAGAGTTCACACTGTGCAAGGTCATAAGGTCATAGCAACGTCATCAAGGAAACAGTCCTTAGCTGGGGCAGGGAGGCTCACACATATTTCAGCTCTTGTGAGAATTGACTTGAGTTTAAGGCCAGCATAAGATTCAGAGACTGTCAGAGAGAAAGAGAGAGAGAGAGAGAGAGAGAGAGAGAGAGAGAGAGAGAGAGAGAGAGAGAGAGAGAGAGAGAGAGACAGAGAGAGAGAGAGCGCCCTGAATGTCTTTGTTGAAAATAGTTGACTATAAAATTCATAGAAACATGCATTGGAAAAGAGATAACTTTTCAATAAATGATGCTGAGGAACCTGGATATCCACATTGCTACTGGAAGGCAGCATAGAGGAAGCAATTCAACACATCTATACAGACCACGGTATATTTTAGCTGAGATCCACCTCCCCCAAAGCAAGATCATCAGAAGCAAAAAATACAGACTTGATGTTTATCAAACTAAGAAGCTTCCATACAATCAAGGAATAAAGTAAACTGAGTGAGTAACCTGTCTAAAAACTGCTGAACTATTCATCTGACACAGCGCTAATATCTAGAATATCAATTTAAAAATCAATGTCAGACTGAATTCATTGTGCATTGTGATATGGCTACAAGTCTACAAGTCCAGGATGTAGAATGTGGAGTTTGAATGGGAATGGCCCTTATAGGCATGTGTGTACAAATGTTTGGTTCCCTGTTAGTGGAACTATTTGGGAAGGATTAGGAGGTGTGGCCTTGTTAGAAGAGGTGTGTCACTGGGTGGGGGATGCTTTGAAGTTTCCAAAGCCCATTTCAGTCCCAATGTCTCTTTTTCTGCCTCCTGCCTGAGTGTAAGGTCTGAGGTATTGATCCAGTACCATGGCTACCCATCACCACACAGTTTAAGGGGATGGATAAGCTAAAACTACATTAATTTGACCATCACACAGTGTCTTAATTTGCTTTTTTGTGTTAACACGAAGCCGACTCAAGGACTTCTGGTGGACAATATGAAAGTCAGTCTCTATTTTTTCTCTCCTCTCTTGAACAGGTTGTAAAGAGATAACTAGAAGCTCTCTCAGCATTTTAGAAAAATTATCCCAACCTCACTGAGAAGGAAAAAAGGAAATAGGTCCACTCTGCACAACCCTCCCCTCACTGGAAGAGCCATACTGATTTCTATGAGTATGTGCTCACAGTTTTGGGATGGGTTAGCGTCTTCTAAAGAAAAGCCTTCTATAGCCTCACCGTTGCCTTCATCCCCAGCAGAAGATCCTGACAGAGTAACCCATATGTAGTTTTGCCTTGCTTTGTCAACTGCTAGCTCTGGGTGACATATTATGAAAAGAGCTAACATCAGATGCTTGGTGACTGAGTATAGCAAGTGGTGGATTGGAAAGCTCACTGGGTTCAGCTTGAGAATCTTTTTAGAGGGTTCCTGAAGCTAGAAGTTGGGAAGGAGTTTGAGTCTAACAAATCCCTCTGTAAATGACAGTTACAAACTGAAAAGGTTAAGGTTAAAAAAAATTACTAAAACATAAAGTAGAGGAAATGTATTTGTGAAAGAAGGAAATGGGAGAACATTCGAGCAATGGTGTACTTTCAGTGTTAGGAAGGACGCATGCATGTATAAGTCTGAACATAAGCACAAATCTGCTGTGTGGGTTCTAGCCATCTCACAGGGAAGACTCTGGGACTGAGTTTGAGTCTGGGTGGATGAAAATTCAAAGAGGAACTAGAAGAAGACAATCATGGAAAGGCAAGAGCCACAGTTGAGAGGTCGGGGGTGGGGGTGGGAGAGAGGAGAGATGGTCACAAAGTCTACAAATGAGCCACAGCACAATTCTCCTCAAACGAACAAGCTTTGTACAAATGGAAAGACTTCAAGTGTCTTGGTGAAATGTGAAGTGTTGTGTGTTGACAAAACTGAGCAACACCTAGCCTTGCTGCCCACCATTGTAGAAAAAGAACCAGGAGTGAGCTTGTTAGGTTTCTGTCAACTGCACAAGCTTAAGTCACCTGGGTAGAAGCTATGTCACTTGGGAAACTGCCTCTATCAGATTAGCCAATGCACAACTGTGTGGGAGAATTTTCTTGATTACTCCCTGATGTGGAAGTGCCCAGCCCACTGTGGGCGGAGTCATTCCTTAACATGTGGTCCTTGGTTGTATAACAAAGCAAACTTGACTGAGCCATAAGAGCGAGCCAGTGAGCAGAACTCCTCCATGGTCTCTGCTGCACTTCCTCCCTCCAGCTCATCCTCAGAGATGAACTGTGGCCTTAGGGTTGCAAGAGGAAATATGAACTTTCACCCTCCAGTTTTCCTTTTAAAGCAACAGAGAAACAAATGATGACAAGGAATTTAAGCCATATGAAACTGGAGGGGCTGGGAAAATCCTTGGACATTCCACTAAAACCCCAGAGAGACCCAAGAGGCCCAGAAGTCAAGACTATGTCCTAGCTTTCTGGGATCTGCTTTGAAATAGGACCAAAACCAGACACAAGTCCCTAAAACGCCAGCCAAATTCTTGGCACAGCAATCTAAAATTTAACAGCGTTACAATGAACACGACAGCTCATAGAGCCCCTCTAGAGGGTAAAATCCACAGCACTCTAAGACCAAGCCAAAAGCATCAGTGTGTGACAAAACAGGAAACATGATCTACAGAGCTTAGGATGGCTCAAATGTTAGAGTGAAAAGAGTTTACAGGGCGATTGTATATTTGTTCAAAGATTTAAAGAAAAAGAGGAACCAACAGAGACTCTCAGCAGAGGTATACAATTTATATGAAAGAATCAAATGAAAATTCAGTAGGGATTTGTGACAGTTAATCTTCATCATTGATTTGGTGGAATCTCCATGGAAGCAAGGCTCTGGGTGGCTTTATGAAGGTATTTCAAGTAAGTTTAACTGCAGGGGGAAGACCTACTCTGAACATGGTACCAATCCATGGACTGGGGTTCTGGGCTGAACAGACCTCAACAGTGGGAAAAATACCAGTAAGCCCAATACATTTGCAGTTAGTTCCCAAAGTATGGAAGAGACAAAAATGACCTAAGATTTCTCATGTTTGGTTGTTTTAACATTACCTTGCAGATCTGAGAAGTGTGAATAACAGGTTAAATTCAGTGAAATTTTCCTGACCTTGAACGTTGGATTCCCAATCCTTCATGTACCAAGTGCCAGGCTTATGGGTGTTCCCTACCATGCTGCTTTATGGGGTTCTGGGGATGGAGTCCAGAGCTTCACGAAGGCTAGGTAGCACATACAGCTAGGTTAGAACCAGCTAAGCTAGGCTCCCAGCACACAGAGGAGTCCTGTGCATGCTGAGAAAAGTCTATGTTTGCTTCACTGAGATAGGGTAAAGCTCCAGAAACATATCAGGTAAAGGTAAAGTACTTGGCACATGAGGTGGCAGTGCAGATGAGCAAACCAGGAAGAAAAACAGTAACTGGGAGAAAACCTCCTTCCATGGGGGTTCTTTAAATCAGGCTCCAGGAAGTATAGGTACTCTATGAATTTATAAGCATGCTGGCAAAACACATGGGAATATAACTTCATTTCCCAATAAGCAGCTGATAGCAACAGTGTTTTTTGTCTGTTTGTTCTCTGGAAAATGTGAAGTTGGTTTAATGCTTGCATTATAGGTTCCCAAATTGCACAAGAATTCTTGCCCCTAGTTGGTTCTAATTGGTAAATAAAGTTGTCGGTTCCCAATGGCTGAGCATGGAGACAGAGGCAGGACTTTAGGATTCATGGACAAGAGGACTGAGGAAGGATAGGATCACCATTGCCAGGAAAGGAATAAGATGCAGGGTTGAGAGCTGTAGAAGAGAGAGCATACAATCATGCAAGAGCAGGGGAAGAGTGGCCCCATAACCCCACCCCCCATTTGAGTCTGAAGTAGCAAAGATGGAATATAGAGTTTAGTAAGTAATAATTCAGGAGTATCAGAGAGGAGGCATTAGCAACATGGCAGTTTGGGAGTGATCCAGCCATTGCCCTATTAGGCATTTTAAAATAGAAGGGTGTGTGTGTGTGTGTGTGCTTGTGTTGAGATAGGTACACATGTGCAAGTTTGAGTGTGTGGGGGGGTCAGAAGTCAATTTGGGGTATTGGTCCTCAGGTATAATTCACTTTATCTGGAGGCAGGATCTCTCATTGTCCTGAAGCTCACCAAGAAGGCTGGGCTGGCTGGTTCAGGTCCCCAAGGACTCACATGTCTCTAACTTCCAAGCACTGGGATTACAAGCATGAGTCAGCCTGCCAGACTCTTTTACATGTGTACTGGGGATTGAACTCAAGTCTTTATGCTTGCAAAGCAAGCACTTTCCTGACTGAGTTATCTGCCCAAACCTTGACTTGTTCTTTGACACTCCCGAAGACCAGATAAAGAAAAAAATGTCATGACCTTCATCCCATGAGATAAAGAATCTTCAGGGCTCTTTATATATTGTTCTGAACCCAGTGAACAGGAGATGCGGGAGAGAAGAGTTTACCCATGTCAAGTTAAGAACAGCCTCCATTACCCAGATTGTCAGCCAGGATGTACGGAATGGGGAACTTCCATCTGCTTGTCGGATCTCTCAGGGCATTTCTGGTTCTCTGCTAAAGACAAAAGCAAACATGTTGTCCAATTCCATCTATCCCTCCACCATGCAGTTTCATTTCTATTTACAGTTGGATAAAATCCCATTGTACATATGTGCCACAAGGCACAGGTAGGTCCTGGGCTCTAGTCCTCAATATCTAGATCTTGGTATTTAGGTGGAAGTAGGGATGAACACAGGTCAGGAAACTGGAAAGAGACTCGTAACAATACAAAAGGGAGGCCTAAATGGAGCAGGGTGAGTCAGGTGATAGAACCCCAGTGTTTTTAAGCGGAGAGGGGAGTACAGGGGCTGGAAGGGTTTCAGCATGGATGGGGATTGGGGAGATGAAGAAGGACAAGGGTAAGCACATATGAAAAATGCCTTAAGGGAACCAGCTACTTTGTAGATTAGGTGATAATATCAAAATGGAAAAAAGACAAAACACCCTGAAGAATCAAAACCATAGACAACCAAGAAGACCATGGTCACCTTGATAGTTCTCACTTGACTCACACCAAAAGGAACCCAACTAATTTAGAGAATTTATCTTCTCAATAAAAAACAATGGGAACTCCTTAGAAATAATTTTTGGGGATACAGAGGCATTAATAAGAGCAAAATGAAAGGTCCAGCTAAGTATTAACTCTGGGACAGCATCTGCAAACACACCGGAATTCTCTGTTTCTATTCTTTGCTTACTGGGAAAAAATGGACAAACTAAATGTTTAACAATTGTATACTTTTCTGTGCTTTTCGGTGTTTTTTAAAATTACTATCAACTATAGGGATGTTCTTATACAATATAGATTATACAAAAATCTTTGCTTCCCCTCCAAAGTGTTCAACTTGGAGCTAGCCTCTGAGCATAGGTTGAGCCTCCAGAGGGACCACAATTCCCAAGGCACAGAAAATATGTCATGGTTAGCACTCACAGGTAGAAGGATGTCCCCTTGAAAGAGGTTCAGGCCTGCAGCTGGGGTGGATTTAAAAACAAAAGGATATTTGCAGTCAGCATTAATAAAAGACAGGTCATGATATAATTAATCATTGCCATTGTATAAATTTCATTTTATACAGTCATTTAACTCTTTTTAAAATTGCAAATCTTTCCCTCTACCTAAGTAGATATGAACAGCCAGTAAGCATTAAATATTGATATGCCCACTTTTAGATTTTGGCAGAAAAATCCTTCTTCAAGAACCTTAGAACTGGCCTAGAGAGATGGCTCAGTGGTTAAGAACACTGATTATTCTTATAACGGACCTGAATTGGGTTCCCAGCACATCCATGGCAGCTCACAACCATCTGTAACACAATTCCAGGGGGACTAGTGCCCTTTTCTGATCTTTATGGGTACCATTCACGCACGTGGTATACAGAAATGCATGCAGTTGAAACATCTATACATAGAAAATAATGATATTTTATAAATAACCTTATAACTAAAATGAATTAAAAGGGATTATGTTGTTCATGAACTCTAAAGCTGTTTAAAGCTTTAAAGAAAACAGTGACGCTCGGAGAGGACCTGAACTAGGAGGTCATTGTCCAGATGAGCTTTACAGCTGGTGTCTCATCCCAGCCCTTCCATTGCCCCTCCTCATCACCTAGGTAAATGCACTGAGTGGACTTCTTCCCAAGAGGAAGAGGGCAGTCTCCAAACCTAAGCCATGGACAATGCCCTTGCAATAACAAAAACCTGGAGACTACATGCAGATCTAGTTAAGGCTATGTATGCTTCCAAGACCCTGCTTTTCAGACACTTAGCAGAATGGACTCACATCCACTGCTTGACTGGCTTATCCATGACCTCCAAGAACTTCTAAAACGAAGATTCTTAAAGGAAAAGATTACAGGAAAACTTCCCAACCATTGAATAAGCTCCATTTACCTTTTAAAAAACATTTAATTAATTCATTAATTTTTAACTTTACCTTAATTTAAAATGCACAGTATAGGCCTGCCTGGGTTCAAGTCTTGACCTTGATTAATTATTATCAAGTTGTTTTCATAACTATATGAGTATCCATGATACTTCAAAAATAATACTACCTATAAAGGTACTTTAGAATTTTCTCCAAATAGAAATACCTAATCCTTACTCAGGCATGGTGGTGCCCACCTTTGATCCCAGCACTCGAGAGGTAGGAGAAGACAGATCTCCGAGTTTGAGGTCAACCTGGTCTACAAAGCAAGTTCAAGGACAGCCAGGGCTACAAAGAGAAACCCTGTCTCAAAACAGCAGGAGCAGCAGCAGTAGCAACAACAAAATCATCATCATCACCATCATCATCACCATCATCATAAGAAATGCTGAATAATCACTAAATATTAACACTGGTTACAATATATCACATTCTTCTCCATAAGTAACTAGAATATCAGCATTTTGTCCAGTCTGTTTCTTTCTTAAATATGATCTCATGTCATTCAGGTTAACTATGAGCTCTCTATGTAGCCAAGGATGGCCTTGAACTCACAACTGCCTGCCTCTTTTTCCTCAGTGCTGAGGTTACAATTGTTTGGCACCACACCTTTTTGAGAGTTCTGTCATCTTCAAATATCACTCAGCTGCTGTGATTTAGGTCTAAACACCCAGAGGGGTTCGCTTCTGCAGCCTGCAATCCTGAGTGAGTCACTAACCATGGGAAGTTTCCTGTATCTCCCTGCATAAGGAAACCAGCATTTCCCCCATTACAAGATGCAGGTGACACTAGATATGGATGTCTTTGCAAACTGTAAGGTGATTGTGACCAAGCGTCCCTCCACTGACACCACTCCCATCCAAAGATATCACTATGCAAAGGCTTCTCTGAAACCCCAGAAGCAGAACACAGAGAGAAGACAGGCAACACTTCGATGTCTTTCCTCTTGGTATTGGATGATAATGTGGGTTCCTCAATAAATGCATTTCTGAACAAGCTACACAACAGAAATACATTCATCCATTCCTTTCATGCCTCATCAACTAGCCACCAGTACCTATGATGGGCGTGTCCAGGCTTAGGATATTTCTCCTACTAAACAGAGCTATCTTCTTATTCTTTAGAGTTTATTTATTGAGTAGAATAATTATCCACTCTTCCTCTTTACTTCAAACTAGAAACTATGGATTTTTCTAAACAGAAAACTTGTTACATGATCTTAAATCCAGCAAGGGCTCATTAGCTCTCTTAGAAAAAGCTAGTTGGTCAAAATGTTGGTCCTCAGAACCCAAGTAAAAACCCGGGAGTAATTTGATCCCAAATTATTGAAAGTCTTGATCCCTGGAAGTCTTGAGGTAGAAGCAGAAGGGTGAGTGCCAGCTTAAGTCCCCTCTGGCTTTGCTTTAATAATTCCCGAGCTATCCAGGACTACAAAGAGAGACTTTGTCTCATTGATTAATCAATCAGTTGATTTAAATAATAAACACATTTTCCAAGGTCTCGATATTTCAGACACTGAACTCACCTAAGTTGATTTGGGAAATATCCTTCTGTTCACCAACATCTGTATCGTGGTCTGCCAAAAGAGAAATAACGAAAAAACTGGTGTTGAAGAAAGCTTGGGTCTTGTTGAAGACAACTCAGAAAAACTGCATAGGAAATGCTTCTTACCATATTCGTTCAAAAGATGCTTAATCTGGAAGGAAACAAGTGTACACAAAATGGGTAACAGACTACAATAGATGATGCTCTTGAATATCTATGGAAGTAGGTAGTATCTACTTACCGATACAGCTGCTATGTGGGCAGAAAAAATCAGTGAGAGAAGAAATGCAGGTCGTGTCCGAAGCATTATTGCAAATGAACTAGATCTGGCAAAAACCTCTTTGCCATAAAAACCTATTGGACCTTGCTCTCACTGTCACAGTGGAAACTTTGACCCTGCTGTGGGTACTGTACTGCTTAGGACAAGTAGTCTACAAGAATGAATGACAGACACTTTTGTGGGTTTGTACAAAGAAGCCTGCTCTAAAAGCTCATGACCCAGAGACTGGGAGAAAGCTCGAAAAATTTACAGTGGAACAGACACATGATAACAAGTTATACACCATGCCACTCACAACAGAAATACAAATGGTCATTAAGGGGTGATAATATTGTACATTGCCAATCAAAGATGAACTAAGATTTTATGAATTGTTACAGTCACAATTAAGGTAGAGCATCAATGCTTGGCTCACATCCTTCCTCTCTCCTTGTTTCTCTCTATATATTTTTCTCCATACCCTCTCATACACAAAAATAAAATGTTCATGACCACTAGGATATTAGTCTATACATTCAATACCATTTCAGTAAAGATCCTACCAACGTTTTCCAGTGGAGTATTACAGACTATTTTTAAAATGTATACACAAAGGCATAAATTTCCGAGAATAAATAAGAAACTGTCTAAAAGAAAATTAAAATAAGAAAGCAGGAATCACTATAACAGAAATACCAAGAACCTTCTTCAAGTTATGGCAATTAGCATGTATCTCATGGCCAAAAGAAAGATCTCAGGGAATGGGATGCAATAGAATATTCAAAGAAACTCTACGTATGTGGGGCTTTGTTATCCAGGAAGGATTGAAAGTGCTGTAGGGAAACTTTGCTCTCGTTAATAACATTAAAAAATTGTGTTCAGAAAATAGAAACTCTAGAACAATGGCTCTCAACCTCCCCAATGCTGAGACCCTTTAATACAGTTCTGCATCCCGTGGTGACACCCAACCATGAAACTCCTTCATTGCTCTGTCACAACTGCAATTTTGCTGTTGTTATAGATCATAATGTAAATATCTTATATACAGGATATCTGATATGCAACCCCTATGACAGGGTCATTTGGGGTACCTAAAGGGGACTTGACCCACAGATTGAAAATCAATGCTCAAGATAAAGGTACAGATGAGAAAATCTCAGAGCTTGAGGTTGGGTAAAGTTGCTTAAATAATGGAAAGCTTTGAAATTATAATGAAAAGTTAATTTAGATATGTCAAAATTTAACCTGCCCCACCTCCTCCTCTTGTAGCCCAGGTTAGCTTGTTATGGAGCAGAGGATGACCATGAACTCCCGGTCCTCCTGCTTTAGACTCCAGGGATTATCAAGATAATAATCTCTCACCATCAGACCCAGCCCAGCCTTGTCAATGTGACTGACGCCAGCATGCGAGACTTCAAGTAAAGGTGTTATTGGCTATTTTCAATCCTGGTGGTAGATATACTCTTTTTAAAAAGTTGATTCTGGGGACAACTATCTAACATCATTAGAGGACAAGCCACAGAAAGAAAAGATATTTACACTGCATATAACTGAATAAAAAGAAGGATTCACGAAAGGTGCAGAATTCTGACATGTCTTTTACAAGCTCAGTTGCAACTGTTAATTAGTTACCAGTTATGTGCCACGCCAGGCATTCCCCACCGCTCTTCTGTGTCTAGAGAGTGCTGTGGGGAGTCATAAGTCCTTGCTTAGAAGGGGTTTATGGTTTTGCAGTAAAATGCAAACTCTGAGGGCAAAGGTCTTGCTTTCTTCCATGTGCCCTAGCAACTGGCATACTGCAAACAACGGGTTATTTTGTTATGTTTGCAGACAGGAGCACTGTCCATTGAGAGGCTCCACCCAGAGCTGACTCAGCCATATTCAGAAACCCACAGTACAACATTGGATGGAGCTTGGAGACTCTTATGGAAGAGTTGGGGGAAGGATTCAAGGCCCCAAAGAGGATAGGAACTCTACAGGAAGATCACCATAGTCAACTAACCTGGACCCTTGGGGGCTCTCAGAGACTGAACCATCAACCAAATACTATATACATGTATTTGGTATGCCTTCTCCACACATATGTAGCAGATGTGCAGTTCAGTCTTCATGTGGGTCCAGAACAGCGGGAGCAGGACAAGGGGAATCCCTAAAGCTGTTTCCTGTCTGTGGAATCTGTTCCCCTAACTCTGCTGCCTTGTTTGGTCTCAGTGGGAGAAGTGTCTTGCCCTGCAGAGACTTGATGTGCTAGGGTTGGGGAATACTGGGGTGGGGGTCTCTAATCTCTCAGAGGAGAAGGGGAAAGAGGTTGAGGTGGATAGACTGTAGTGGTGGGGCAGGAGAGGGGACAGTGATCAGGATATAAAGTGAATAAATACAGGCAGAAACAAAAAGAAAGCACAAATAAATAGATAAATAAATAAAACCCAAAATAAGACAAAACGAACAGAACAAAAAGAGAAAAGAAAAGCACAAGAAGCATACAGATGCAGAAACACACACATTCTCAAACAGAGAACTCCCATTAAAGCACAAAATCAGAAACCATAATATGTAAGCAAAAGACCTACAAGGAAAAAAAAAACCCTCCAAAAATATCAGTGAGTTTGTTTTGTGTTGGTCATCTACTGTTGGGCACGCTCTTAAATGTGATTTGTGTACCCAGTGAGACTCCCGAGGAGAAAACCATAAATTTCCCTTTGTGAGTGATTATCTATTGGAAATAGCTTCTGGGTGAGGGATGAGGGCTTGTGCCTGCTTCTGCTCTCATCGCTGGGACCCATCTGGCACAGACCTGCACATGTAGGCTCTGTGCATGCTGCCACAGTCTCTGTGAGTTCATATGTGCATCAGTCCTGCTGTGTTAGCAGGGCTTGTTTCCTTGGTGTCTTCCATTCCCACTGGCTCTTACCATCTTGCCACCTCCATCTTCCACAGCGTTCTCTGAGACCTGGGTGGGCTGAGCTGGTTCTATCCCAGAATTCTCTCTGTCTCCTGGAGGTCCCACTTTCTAGTCTACCCTTTCCTGTTTCTTAGGTCATTGGTTTTTTAATTGACAGGCCATACATCATACAATACACAATATGTTCTCTCTACAATTCCCCTTTTCAGTCCAATAAGAGATTCCTTTTTTTTCTAATATGATTTAAATTGGTTGTACCTGATGGAGGCTGAGCCTCGCCTGTTGGAACTACCAATGTACTGGCTTTTGTCCTAAAGGTTTGAGTTAGCTTCCGACTTGGTGGAGTATTTAAATTTAAGTCATTCCACTTTGATCTGCACAGCCATAAAGACTGGGCCAGGGGGCCCAACTGGACGGGGTTATCTGGGAAGAAGTGTCTAAACACATGGAGATTGGTGAAGAAAATGAAGACACAGTGGGCTGGGCTTTTCTCAGAAATGTGTTTCTGTTTGTCTTTTGCCTCAGAAGTGAGGGCACAGGAAACAGGCTCAGTTGCAAAAGGGACACTTAATCACTCCGTATAAAGCCCGTTCCTGGTCATCCGAGGATTCTTGGATTCTGAAGCATTTTAAAGGGGGGGGAACCAGTATTAATCATAAAGAAGTAGTCTCAGGGCCCAAACACTGATGAAATCCCTCTGAAGAAGATGGTGTTGGACAAAGATTGGGTGGGGTATGGTTCAGAGAGGTTTTTCTTTTGTGCCTGCATCCTAGGAAAAGTTAATCAGCTTTGAAGTCTTAAATGAAAGAAAGATGACGGCTAAGTCACACACATAACTGGATCCAGAGAACTGGAGGTTCAGCCTTCTCAGAAAGCAAAGCCGATTGGGAATCCCATTTCCCTTGGGAAAAAAATCACAAAGCTGGTTTGGGAACAGCTGACTTTCTTGTGAACGTGGACAAGGGCTCCATTCGCAACCACCCCACCATCTGCACCATTGGCAGCAATACAAGTTCAAGTAATAAGGAGAAGGAAATGGGAGGCCATGGGCAGGAACAGTATTGGAAATTCTATCCGGGTAATTGATCCCAGCTAATGAGCAAAGGGCACGTCCCAAGTTATAGCCCCAGGCTCAGCACAAGTGTTAAGTTTAACCCATCATCTAATGATCTAGGGTGGAGGACAGTAGGGCTGGCTGCTTTCTAAGATGCCATCACATCACGTGCTAGTAATCATGAGGACAGCTTTGTGCAATCATGTAAAAGTATCAGCCACCAATGCCTGTGTGTGGATGGATGGGCTGAACTGCTTTACACACCAAGCAAGGAAGAAAAGTAGTCACACCTTGGTTTTTCAGTTGAATTTCTGGGAATAGCTGATTGCCAGCAACCTGTAAAGCTGCCCACCCTGAATTTCTTCTTGTTGGTGACTTAGGAGAGACCTGTCATATGGCAACAACTTCTTCTTTTCTTCTTCTTCTTCTTCTTCTTCTTCTTCTTCTTCTTCTTCTTCTT